CCTCACCTTTTTCCTTTTTTTTTTTTTCAAGCGTCGTACTTTACATAACGGAAACACATGAATTTATCGGTTCAGTTCTCGTTTCCCCTTTGCCTTTCCTTCTCCTTTTGTTCTGCCCTCAGCCTCAGGTATTCGCTTTGGTCTTCAAGTATTCTTCTCCTGTGTGGCGCCGTGTGGAGGGCTTCGAATCTTTCGATTACACCACGAGTTCTTACAGTTGTTGTTGACGGAGGGTCCTGAAATCATAAAAACAATTAGTTTCACACGCTACAGTACCTTCATTGAATATGCTAATCTGTAATAGCTATCTCACGAATGGGTGTCGCCCACATCTCATTTTCTAATCTCCCTTATTTTATTTCCTGATGCTTGTTGGTTCGATAAAGATCTTCTCTTTTTATCGTTTCTCGCCTCGCTTCCCTCCCCTTCTTCCCCTTTTCCCTCCCTTCTTTTTTTGATCACGTACCCGTACATTAATCCTATTTTCTCGATTATTTTTATCCCTACAGGTCAACGTCATGGGGTTCGCATCGGTGCTTCCATCTTATCATTAGTGTAGATATTCAGTTTAATGTATACATATGCATGGGTAGAGTAATGTTAATTTGTCGCCGTAGCTGGGTAATCGTTTACCTCTATGGCAGGTTGGGACGTTAAAGGAGTAACAGCGTGGGGGGGGGTTCTCGATTTCCTCCAATGGCTGAGCTGGGCTGCACTGGCTGGTTACATCTTCCGCCACCAAAGGCTGTGTTCCTGCGTGTGACGTCTGGGCAGGGGGGTCTCGCCTGTCTTGTATGCCACCCGTTACTGGAGATCCTGTCGGTGTGCTCGGCGTCTGTTCCTGTTCATTCTGAGGAGGTTCTATCGGGATGTTTGTTCGTACAACGGAGCCCGGAACATAATACCCAGGAGGGGGCATGCTGCCGTCTGGGATCCATATCTGGGAACGAGAGAACATGGGCATATTATAATATGTCTTTTCTCCTGTCCTTGTGTGTTGTTTATTTTCCCCCCCCTTTTTTTTCCGTTTGCTAAACCAGCGTGTTGTTCTGGGTGCACGTACCATTTCTTTAAACGTAGTCTTGGATGGCTAGCATCTTCACGGCAAATGGNGGGGGGGGGCCTCATTCCTACTGTAAGTTTACCAAATAATATATCGTGTGAGTGTGGGTTTTCATTGACGACATACGATAATCGCAGCAAAGGTTATGTAGAATTTATACCGCTCGTCCGATGAATACCTTATTCTGACTCGCGTAACCGTGTGATTGCTGATAAGCAGCGACAGCGTCTAACGACGCGTGTACCCTACTTAAAGCCTATGTTAAATGATAGGTTTTAGTGGTTTCTTGTTTCAATACTTACTACCGGGAGGCCACTCCCAGGGCAGATAGGGAGCGCCGTCTCGAATCCAACATATTCCTGCAGCTGTGAGAGTCGACTGATTTCTCGGACTACTTCCATTGCTGGAAGGTTTCTCGGCAAGGGCGGTGGATTGCGTCTTTGTGTCCCTTCCGGCGGAGCTGGACAGGTCGCTTGATTTGTAATCGCTGGATTTTTCGGTTGTTCTGAAACACATTAATTTCACGCTGGAGTTATCGTAATGCGTGGATCTGATTCACAATTCGCGATTCGTACTTAGATTAATCGTGAACTGGTTTAACTGGTGTGAAGGTTACCCCCGTGCTTCATTAGAAAGGTTTACGTGAACAGCGGGACCCTCAAATTCGGATTCCTCGGTGTCGATTACCCGCGAATACACGTTTTTTTCCAAGTCTCCGTGTCAATTTAACGAAATTGAATTTTGTTAAAAGTGGGCTGTGTCCCCTGCCTTTAGGGGTCGATATGTCTGACACGAGTGGGCCGATTTTAGATTTTTTGGTGTCGATTTAAGCTAAGATTTTCCGTACGTTCTGATTTCGATGAAATCATTTCAAATTTTTGACTTTACCATTGACTCTCGAAGTACGCTTCGTTTTCCTCTCCCGTAACTGTAGAAGAGAGAAGGGGAAGGGGGGGGGGCATCGGCTCGTTGGCGAATAGCAGTATTCCAATAAGTATGGTGCAGGGGGCCGGAAGAGTTTTTTGGATCTTGGCAACATTCATGAATTTTCTGAGAACCATACGACGATTATAGGTGTTGTTGAGAATTTTTTATTATCCTACTTCTTGCGAATTACTCCAGAAAAATTTTTCCATACTATACCTGCGATTTCCGGTGGATCCATCTTCCCTTTTTTTTGCGGGGGCTATCCATGACCTCGTTCAGCTGCAAGAAAAAAAGAAAAACGGTGAAACTCGACTATTATGATTGTTTCGCGTGTGAGTTGTTTCCGGCTGATACGAACCTCTTTTTTTTTTTTTTTGTTCCCCCATTTTTTTGTTTATTTTTATTTTTTTATTTATTTTTTTTTTTTTTATTTATTTAGCGTTAGGATCGGATAGGATACGGAAACGAGTCATGCATTCCTTATTCTATCCCGATGGGGTGAAATGTTAGATGACTTGGTTTTGTCTCTTTTGTATATGGTGGATTCTGTCATTAGGATTTGGGGTTAGGGGTATTTTTATCTACGGATGGAAGGATGTACGCCCCCCCCTCCCAGAATACAAGAGCGCTGTCTGTCTGCTAAACGGGAGCAGGATGATCGAACTGTTGTGCTAATCGACACCGACACAGACGATGTCCTGCACGTGCGGCGGCGCTTTATTATCCTACTTCTTGCGAATTACTCTAGAAAAATTTTTCCATACTATACCTGCGATTTCCGGTGGATCCATCTTCCCTTTTTTTTGCGGGGGCTGTCCATGACCTCGTTCAGCTGCAAGAAAAAAAGAAAAACGGTGAAACCCGACTATTATGATTGTTTCGCGTGTGAGTTGTTTCCGGCTGATACGAACCTCTTTTTTTTTTTCCCCCATTTTTTTTGTTTTATTGGCGCGTATACGTAGTATACCGCCTTTGCGATCGTTTCGAACCCTGCTCGATACAATAACCGAGTCCCTTAGTTCCTTACCGAAAAGTGACTACCGCGAACTTCTGAGATTTTCCAAAGCGTGTAAAAAGTTTATTTATCCGTCAATAATTATGATTTAAAGTTGTTTCTCATTCTGGGGCTCGCTAGTTTATGTGCAGTGAATACCAAGAGTCTACGTTACTTGGTTTTTTTAAAAAAAGCCTAAGAGTACGACGCGCTGATTTAAAATATGCATATATAAGCGGAAGCAAGCGAACTGATTCGAGGATGGCTGACCAGTTCGGCACTCCTTGAATGAGAATTTCACTCACTCCGTTTTGTTCAAAACGTTGCTTTGACATATCTCCACACCACTGTTATCCTTTTCAAAAGTTGGTACTCCTTGCTCTGATAGCCGGGGCCAGCAGGATAGTGGTAAGTGCAATCTGTGATGAGCCTCGAGACTCATTAGACCATTTGCTAAACGTGGCTCATACAGGAGTCCACTCAGCCCTCTCTTCCCCACGCTCCTGATCACTGCGTCGGCGTCACGAAGAACAATGGGCCTTGGGCCGCCTTGGGTCCCAACGCGGCCGATACCCGTACCCCAATTACTCACGCTTCATTAACCATTTCACCGTCACGCTAGGATTCATCCAATTTTCAAAAAAAATTGTTTCGCGTGTATTTAGCAATTTTTTCCTTACTCTCCGTTAAAACACAAATAAAAAGAGACCTCATTCATAAAAATCGGCCGAATAGAAGAGAAGTTACAGTAATCGAAATCCGAAGAAATCAACAAAACCTCGACTTCTCGATACGAAAAATAAAATGAAGGGGAAAAAAAGAAAGTATAAATTACAATTAAATATAATTGACCTCAAAATTTGACAAACAATTCATTTATATACCTAACGCTGAAAAAACTGGGAGAAATTACAAAAAATTTGCCTCTTGCAAGGGGCTTCTTTGTAAGAATTTTGACCTGAAGACAACGGTCGAATAACAGCAGTACTCCATACAATACACGGTGTGCCTGAACGAGTTAAACATTTTTCATACGTCCAAATCGAAAAATCTTTATATTTTTAACTACAATGTTTCTTGAATCGTTTAAGCAAAAAAAAAAAAAAAAAAAATTCCGTCGAGATTCTGGAACGCAAAGGCGCTTTAAAAGTATTCTGGGGCTATAATAGCTAAATCACCGGTAGTAAATTCGTTATATTATTAAAAAGAAATTGACTCCATAGTTTAATTCCTTAGTTTCTTGAATACGATTATTTTAAGCACTTAAACATTTATACCACCAATTTTAGCCATGGGGTGATTTCCTGAGAGCCGATAATATCACGAATTTCTCATAGAACCCCTCAACAGTGGCTTGCTTTTTTGGCAGCCGATTCGGCCATCGAACCGGAGTTTAAATGGAAGCTGATAATAACCCAAAGCTCTGAGAAAAATTTTGAGATGAGTATAAGAACGGTTTGTTGTAAGTAGCGAGGAGAGGCGGGCAAAGCGGCTAAAATCCTATCTAATTTTTACAGTTTTTCTGTTGAATTAATGTTGCCGCGGGCTTCTGACTGTCCACACATAGTTCTGTTCAGCATATCGATACATAAGTATTTACATTTTACATACGTAGAATCTAATTTTCACGTCGGGGAGTTGACATATTTTGATTTTTTCGATTTTATACGGAAAATTGATGGTTTTTCGGGATTGAAATTATTATTGTTTCATGAAAAATAAATGCACCCAAAATGACTATAGCATATTGATTCTTACACATTTGCACTCACAAAATTGGTTGGTAAATTCAACGAGTGGGTGCATCGACCTGGTATATCAAGTTTCTGCAATTTTTTACGGCAAATCAGTAGATTTTCGGGATGTAGATTGCTTACTTTCAATTCATGAATGAATAAAGCAACGACATGGTTGAACTTCTTTGCATGGAAAGACGTTTAAAATAACAAAATCAAGACGTATTTAATGCAATTGCATTTATATCGAGTCAATTTCTTTTCAATAATATAACGGGATTTTTACTACCGGTGATTTGGGTATTTTAGCCCCAAAATACCTTTAAATCGACTTTATCTTCTAGGAGTTCGACAGAATTTTTCCTTTCTTCGCTTAAATTATTCCGTAGCACTTTTCTTCAAGAATCTGATAAGATTTTGCTTGAGGCAGATCAAAAAACTTAAATTCGATCGAATAGCTTTCTACTTTCACAATACACGGTCTCGTCAAGGTGCGTCTTTGACCTCGCAGTGTTGGATCGTGAATTCTCTTGTTGTGCTGTTTGCCTATTTTGAAATCTCTGTAAATGAAAACTAAAGGGGTTGATATGTGCGAGTTAATGACGCGCCTTATCAACACATTGTGTTGGAGTTCACTGCTTGTTTTTTTTTTTTTTTTATTTTTTTTTTTTTTTTATTTATTTAGCGTTAGGATCGGATAGGATACGGAAACGAGTCATGCATTCCTTATTCTACCCCGATGGGGTGAAATGTTAGGTGACTTGGTTTTGTCTCTTTTGTATATGGTGGATTCTGTCATTAGGATTTGGGGTTAGGGATATTTTTATCTACGGATGGGAGGATGTACGCCCCCCCCCCCCTCCAAGAATACAAGAGCGCTGTCTGTCTGCTAAACGGGAGCAGGATGATCGAACTGTTGTGCTAATCGACACCGACACAGACAATGTCCTGCACGTGCGGCGGCGCTTATCCATTGCCAGACGTGGATGTCGATGCAGTTCGGCTTTCAGATGGTTGCCTTTTCACGCTAGCGCGAGTGCTGATAAGCATTCGTATACGAACCAACCATGGATGTTTAACTTAATATTCATGATGCTATACGTGACATGGCATTTCGTTCGTTTTGTTATTTCATTTAGAAGCAGACATGCCACCGTGGTAGGGGTTCCCCCCCCCCTCCATGTATATAATTTTCTTTTTTCCTTATTACGTTGTAGGAAATGTATCGCGGATTGCATTTCATTTACATCCCCTACTGTACCGGTAAGTAGTCTGTAGAACTTGTCGCAAGGGTTTATAAGCACCCGTTTATCCAATCCTCGTATTCTTCATGCTCTCCAATTCCTCTTGTTTTTCCCCCCCGTTTTCTTTTTACACTCGCCAATCGGGTCACAGTATGCGTTATCGGTTCTTTTTTTTTTTATTTTTTTTTTTTTTAATTTTTTTTTTCTATCTCGTTTGTACCTCTATGTCTTGTGTCGTTGTATAATGTAGATCGCTTAACCGTAATATGATATTTCAATTGCTTTACTTACGTTGTTTCGACGACCGCTGTTGTTTCCCTAGGGGTATAACCGTTTCGGACGATCCATGCGGAATTGGATTGTTGCATAGATCTGGGGAGTAAAGAAAAAGAGGATAACTGCATTAACGAGTTATATCGTGTAATGACGCGTTGGTAACATTTCATACTATTCAGTGAGTCAGACACCCATTTACTACGACCGGAGACCTCTTGTTATTGATAACGTCTCTGTCAGGAAATTATTTATAATTTGGCGACGTGTTTAATAAATAGCATTCTACCGCTGGTTCGCTGTTTCCGCGAGCGTGAGAATTAATGTTCTCTTCGGTTACAGATGTAACGATAACTTTGTTTTTGTCGTTTCCCGGACTTTTCTTTTCGGTTTCTCTCCTTACTATCTCGTTTGCTTAATTCAAATGGTTTCACTTGGTTTTATCCTTTTAAGCGTTCGTTGCTACGTCTATCCTGTCCCCACTCTGTGCTGCGTCGATAGGCGTGAAAACATAATGACCCATATACAACAAATTATGCTTTCATATCTTTTTCCCACCTATATACCAGACTATGCTTTTATCCCTTTCTCCCTGGATCCTTTACTTATTCCTCGCGTATTTGTTATTTTTCCTTATTTCCCCCTATTTCGGTGCGAAGTGTAGGTTTTCGTTAATCTACGAACGCAACTTACCATGTATCGTTTGAGTTTTACTGCTAGACTGCGTTCCTTTGGGGGTCTGTGATGAATCCTTTTGAGAACCTTGAGAACGAGACAGAAAACAATAAATTGTAAACTCCAGTATATTCTATTCGTGATGTAGCTCATAATACTCGACACTTCCGCGAATTTAGTACTGCTAATAACCGAATTCATATTGTCAAAGCACTTCAGTGCTTGGGTCATACTATCCCGGTTAGCGAAATATGTCGTTGCTTTGGGAGACTGTTCATACACGACCCTCACGCTGCTTATTAGCAATTGTATAAGTTAACGAGGGTTTCGCACTCTTCTTCGTTACTAGCGTCTATTTCGCAAAGGTGAGTGTATATACCGAAAGAGTACTCCCATTCTCGTCGTTTGTACCCCCCCCCTTTTTTTTTTTTTTTTTTGTGTAGGCGCAGTCAGAAGAGAGTAATCCATACGTATCTTTAAGTTTTAGTCAATTTACCAGGGCTATTGTATGATCATCGCGTAGTGCATTCTCTCTCCGCTCGAGAAGATTCATTTTTAAATTAACCGCGAGGCATTGCTCATAAGCATTCGCGTACGTGAACATATAATATCTGGTGTAGCCCGGTGTCTCTCCCCGGGTTCGGGTCGGTTCCCTCTTTTTATTGCCCTTCTGTTTGTACTTCTAGCAATCTCTAGTCGATCGCGCTGCTGTTTCACTTGCGTTGTTCGTCTCCACGCCATATTTGCGATTCGGTGGATGCAATTAATGTAAAATTGGACTACTAAATACGGATAATCGCGTGGCTTACCGTCTTCTCGGGAGTACAACCGTCCGGTGAGTTGAGTTCTGTAGCGGGACCTGGTCATCTTTGGT